TCAAGAGTGATGTTAAAGCTAAAATATGTGACCCAGGTGTATTTAATGATGATCTGGCTGTTAAATTGTCGAAATGCGATGAAGAGTACAGTAAGGTCATAGCAAAAGTCAACGAAAAGGTATACTAATCATATAATTTTGCTAAATCTAATATTATATTAAAAATCATTAGGTAAATAGTAATATAATTGAGCATATACAACTTAAATTAAACCTATTAAGATAGCAATAGTAATCGAAAAGGATTCATTATTAGCTTCCAAACTACGTGATTATAGTCATAAAACTTTTAAACTTTGCTTGCTTATTCATACAAATATAAGATTTCATGTTCAAAATAGCACATTTTGTTTGGGTATTTAAAAGAACTTTTATTTTTATATGAATAAGCAAGCAAAGTTTAAAAGTTTTATGACTATAATCACGTAGTTTGGAAGCTAATAATGAATCCTTTTCGATTACTATTGCTATCGACAAATATGGCAATGTGTGTCAATGATATTCCATCAACAGAAATATTAAAAACTATAAATATTGCTCAATATAGACTAATTATAAATTATACTTGATAAAAAAAGTAGTAAAGTAAACATGATATACAAAGAATATTTAATTTATTATATTTACCCTATAATATATTATAGTTGTCATGTGAACGTAAAAACTTCTATAACTTAATCCGAGTATTTTGTAAACTAATTAAATAATTTAATAATTTAGTTTGAAAATATGACACTCGAGTGCGACACCAAGGACACTGCATTTATCACCAAGTTTAAAAATTTAAAGAAGGAAGATAATCAAGTTCATTTGTATGGTGCGTGTAAGGAACTGGATTTATCATGCAGGGTCAAATTCAATCAAAAGGTGCATGAAGAATCTATAAAGCAGATTAAGTCGCTGAATGTAAGTAGCTAACTTTTGTATGAATATTGATATTTTTATTACACATGTTTTTAGTTATTTTATTTTTGTTTCACTTACAGGATTGCTATTCGAAAGTGTTTGGAGCTTGATAAAAAATTAAATTTCATTTCATTTAATTTATTAATTCTTAAGAATAATTTTATATTATATAATTTTGTTGAAGTTTATTACATGTACTGTTGATAAATAAAATAAAACTTTGTATTCACTATTAATTTATTTGCATTGTTTACTATACATAATACCACTTAGCCTTCAATTTAAACGATATAAAAGCAATCACATGTTGTTGACTAGATCATATATTATAGATAATAGAAAATATTAATAGATTAAAAAAGTTAATTAAAAATTTTAAATTAACATTAGCAAATACAGTAGTTTAAATAATGATAAACTTTATTATGTAAGTTATTTTAATTTTTTCACCGTGATAGTAGCACAAAAATAGTAAAAATTATTTAAAAACTATTATAATTATAGTGTTTATTTGGAAAATGAATATCATACGACCTTTTTAGAAATCGATATATTTAATATTATATTAAATTATATTATATTGTTATTTAATATAAACAATTCTTTAATTTAAAAATTAATCATAAATATAAAACTGAATAAATAATTTGTTTTTATTAATATTAAACATATGATATTTTACTTATACCTTTTTTAAGAATTTATAATTTATGCAGCGTAATAATATTATAACAAATAATTTACCTTGACTTTCATACAGTATACTAAAATTTATTACTCATATAAGATATATTTGTAACAGGCGATGAAAGCGTATGCTTACATGTTTTATTAATACAATTAGGCAATAAATATTTTCAGATTTATTTAGTACAATTTGGCAATAAAATGTTCATTTGTTATTAATCTATTGCATATTACATTTGTACTGTAACAAAATAATTAAATTTAGCCTATTTAAATAATAGATTACATAAAAATACCTCTAAGAATCAATCAAGCTTTCTATTAATTTAATTTTCTTTATATAAATCAATAAAAGGAAAATTTTATTTTGATTTATTTATTGTGTTATTATTAATAATTTTTTAAAAATATGTTACGAATTATTATATTGATAACCAGTTGCTTGGTATTTTTAAGTGCTTATGATTAGCATGGTGAACAAAAAATAATTGTATAAGACTATATTAATAGCGAGATTAAAGCTAAAATATTTGACCCAGGTGTATTTAATGATGATCTGGCTTTTAAGATGGCGAAATGCGGTGATGAGTACAATAAGCTCTATGAAAAAATCAGCGAAAAAGTATTTTGTTCATTTATTTTGCTAAATCTAATATATTATTTAAAATTATTAAGTTAGCAGTAAATTAATTCAGCATACACGGCTTAAATTAAACCTATTAAATGAGTTTATACGCTAAATACAATAATATAAATATTAAATTTATAAATAAATTATATTGCTACAATAAAAACAAATTATAAATTATACTTCATAAAAGGTGCTAGGGTAAATATGATATACAAAGTATATTTAATTTATTATATTTAATTATAGTTATTCCATGTAAATGTGATTTCTATAACTTAATTTGTAAGTATTTTGTAAAATGATTGGATAATTTTATAATTTAGTTTGAAAATATGACACTCGAGTGCGATAACAAGGACACTGAATTTATCACCATGTTCAAAAATTTGACTAATTAAGATAATCAAGTTCATTTGTATGGCGCGTGTAAGGAACTGGATTTAGCATGTAGGGACAATTACTGGCAAAAGGTGTATGATGAATCTGTAAAGCAGTTAAAGTCCCTGAATGTAAGTAGCTAATTTTTGTATGAATATTGATATTTTTATTACAAATGTGATTTTGGTTATAAATTTATTTTGTTTCATTTACAGGATTGCTATTCGAGAGTGTTTGGAGCAAGATAAAAATACAATTGATTTGATTGAATTTATTAATTCTTAATAATATTATAATAATTTTATGTTATATAAATTTGTTGAAGTTAATTACATGTACTGACAATAAATAAAATAAAACTTTGTATTGATCATTAATTTATTTGCATTGTTTACTAACATAATACCACTTAGCCTTCAATTTAAACAATATAAAAACAATTAGGATAATGTTGTTTAATCACATGAATAATACGTAAACTGTAAAATAAAAGAAATTATTAATAGATTAAAAAGTTAATTAAAATTTTTTAATTAACATTAGCTAATAGTTATTATGATGTTAATTATGTTAATTATTACAGTACTACCTTAATACTAGCATAAAAATAGTAAAAATCTGTAAAACTATTATTTTTATTATAGTGTTAATTTGTAACAATTATGATAGCTGTTAATTGGCTAATTGTAGTGATCATGGTAATTGTGGTGTCCGTTAACTGTTACCACGAGTTCATTGATGATGAGCTAATCGCCGC